ATGACACCAGGTGTTCACCAACAGGGTACTCATACCCTGCATTAACATTCTCCTAGTGTTTAACGTTGTATGGGGTCTGTGTTGGCAGTATTTTCCTATGAATACTGTGTACAGAAAAAAAAGACATGATTAGGCCTAAACTTTACAAAAATAGAGACATAAGAGGATATGAAATAGTGGTTTCATAAGTTCAAATCAAAGTAATTGATTGTTTTCTGCCATTAATACATGGACTGTCATTCATACACATCACGACATTTCCTCGAGATTCGGTAATCCGTATCAGGTGAAGTTAAGTGTTTAAAGTTTTTCAAAGCCAACAGTTCGTTCAACATTAACCATAGTCTGTCTCACAGTCCCTGAACCACATTATTTTCCTTAATGCTAAACCCTCCATGCAGTGCTAAATCCCTGACAAAAGCAAGTGTAGATTTCCCCAGGTTCTGAATCTCTCAACTCACTAGGGGCTCCTTTTCAATTTAAATGGGCTTATTTGTTGCTTTCAAAATTATATATATTCAGAGACTAAGCATTTGTCTACATTAACTGTCATTCCTTGACATACGTATATTGCAGTAATTTGATTATAAACAGACCATTACCTGACCAGCAGCGAGCCATTAACACTTTCTGAATGAGCATCAGACGTGTTTTAAACCCATGGAAACGTGTTCACTGTTGACACTGTTTTTGAATCACATAACGTTGTTTACGTTCGTGCTCGTTTCTCAATCAACTGCTACCGTAACATGTGTTTTAAATAGGTGTACATGTCAAATCAGACGTTGAAACAATTAAACCGCATGACGTCGTATGGTCGTTTATTGATGTTATTACGGCTGCTTGGGGTGCAATCGTCTGTGACATGGCGATCGTCTGCTTGAAGTGCCCGGATGTCCTAAGATGCGCAGAGTCATCAAATGTAAAGCGTCCCGAAAACTTTACAGCCATCGTTTCGAATCTCGGCAATTTCCGTGATACTTGATCCGGCTTTCGGAATGTCGTAAAACGCCCGGTAGCCTTTCACAATAATCTTTTATGTGAAAATAAAACTATCAAATTAATCTAATTTGGAAAAGTCAGCAACTTTGAAAGAGTTTGCCTCTTGGATACTGTATTCGGTTCAACTGTTTTCGATTAGGAGTATTTCAAAACTAGGCACTATCTCCAGGCTCTTTATTTTGGAGCAGTATCTAAACAAATTAGATTAGTGAGACATGATAAGACTATACCCTCAGCAGATTTCCTTCTTCGTTATAATTGTGATCTGTCTGCAAGTGATATTAATTTCCCTTTCAATAGAATACTCACTACTATCGCAACAGTGAAATGGTTATAAGATTCTTATAATGCGAGTTATTTATGCGTAGTTAATGCTTCAGAAAAATAATAATAAGATATGTAATCTGGTCTACATATATCGTGTACAATCGAAAATAATGTTAAATAATACGCACAGAAGTCGGTCTGATGTTCATAAAAATGTCGAGAAACAAAGCTATTCCTTTAATAGCCTTGATGCTTTTATATATAATTCAAACCTTGATTCTTTAAACGCTGTTTGTCCCCCAAGAGAATAATCTTAGAGCGGTGTAAGAGATTACCTATTCAATTTAAAATTTAAAATTTTACATGCAGATTTATAGTTGTTATGATGCTCTCCATAAAGAATGATCGGTGAAGAATTATTTCGATAAAACATTGAGTTACGCGATGCATAAAGTGTCTACGTACTACTGATTGTCTAGGTACAAAACTATGCATTTAGGTGTTGAATATAATTTGTATTTTACACAGAAGCGTCTGTTATTTGTAACTATCAGTTCCTTTACAGAAGCCTCCGTCAGACCGATAAATTTGCAAACGTAACTAAGGCAGGTAATGAGATACCTGACTTTCCAGCAAGTGCGATGCTTATTGAAGTTTTAAACGTTTTAAACAGTAATTCAAACTGCAAGTGTGAAATTCCACATCTGTCTTTTTTCTCTCATGGTCCGCCTGTTCTCTTTTCCTTTTGTAAAACAGGTTTTACATACATGTGTGACAAGGTATAGGTAATTCTTTCTATCATGCTTGACTTATAGTTACCTGTTGCAGAACCCCCAGGTACCACTCCAGGAGAATTCTACTATTAACTGTTTGCAGCCGAATCTTCGGATGATTGTGTTCATGGACATTCGGTGTGTTGTAATGGAAAGATGAAACATAGTGAACGTATTATACCTTTGTGAAATAGTATTTATTTATTCCCCTGTTTTGTATATTGTCATCACCTTTGATGGAAATTATGAGATTTGTATAAAAATGTCGGTTGTTATTCCTCAGAAAGCCGTTTGTCTGTCAATACATGACTATGTTATATGCGATCTATAGCGTTTTGAGATTATTTGTAAATGTTTCCATAAAACTTTGCATAAATATTACTTTCACTGATAAATATATTTATGTTGAAATTGTCACATAAAGTCAAACATTCAAATATTTATACATATTTACCAGTATGAATTGTGGTATTTAAAGAACAAATACATTGCACAAATCACAGGATATGTTTATTCATACAGTTATGTTGTTGCATTGTCTCAAGGTGCAATATTTTCACAAATAATTTTACATATTCCAACTTTTAATCCTCACCTTTTATACGGTATCGGAACGCATGTACATTTCACCCCTGTTTGATGTGACAAAGGCTGTCGCTCAAATGTCAATTAGCGGAAGTCGCGGATTTCGATAGGGCCACATGTGTTGTGAATTTCATTGATAATAATCTTAATTCAATTAACGTCAAACTCGGGGATAAAGAGATTTGAGACAATGTCACTTGCAATCAGGATTCCGTCGTAGGTATTGTTTTAGGTGGGACTTTCTAATATTCCTTTTACGTTTTATGTAAACAAAAACGAATTTCCATGCATATATGTGTCTGACCCACATTTCAGCGACATATTTCTCTTGCGAATATCTATCATTCAACCTTAAACCGGCTACTGTAAGTTCTAATTAATTTCATCACACAGAAGTTAATTGAAAGATGTTATACTGAACAAAGAAAAATAGGTATCATGAATATATTATGTATTTTTAGGGGATTTTGTGCTCCGTCTTTACTACAAAAATCACATGTAAATATTCATGATTCATATCTGGATTCACTATATGTAAATGCATTTTTATATAAAATTCTTCTGATATTAATATTATTGGCGTCTTTTGCCCCTTTTGTCGATTCATATAAGCATAATTTCACTATCAAGTATACTGGCAAAATATATATTTGAATCTTAAACAGTTACTGGTGTGAAACAGAAAAATGATCGCGTGTTCTGATATCAGCACTAGAGATAGTTTTTTGTGTAAAAACACAGCACCGTCACATGTATAATGAATGTATTATTTAGCACCGATGATTCACGAATGGGTTATGGGAAAGCAACCCTTCTAAGCCCCTGGTTAACGCCGCGGGGGTGGGGCTGTCGGCCCGGGGGTGAGTGATAATTAAAACCAGGTGCTCAAACGTCTAGACTATGTTCTACAGAACAAGACATGTTGGTTTGGGCGCGTTTAAGAATCGCTTCTAGTATATTTGGATGTCTTAAGTTATTAAAAAAGGTGATCAAATGTAAAAAAAACCTAAAGACCAGATGTGTGGAATGCGATAAGAACTTGCTAGTAGGGACGGTAGACTTTGCCTACAGTATCCTTGGTGCCTGACCTCGTGTATTGCATAGGATGGTGCCAATGATATAAGCCACGATTCAGGTGTATTTACCTGAATCTTATACATTCCGTCTGCATGGGGAAATTAAAGCGATAAAATTTACATAATCATATATATCAGCAAGAAACAGAATTCTTATAACTCATCTTAGATGGAATACTGTTTCATTTAGGCATTCTATATAAAACGTCTTTCTTTGTATTATTACCAATAGATCATGCTAACAGTGTTCAGTTTGCTTTTTCTGGGAGTTCGATACAAGCGAGGCGTGTTTGACAATTAAAACAAAAAAAAACCCAATGCATTTCTTCAGAAGTACACTAAAGAATTAAACAGCCTTTTGAAAAAAAATACAAAAACAATTCGACATATGTGGAATACCTTCAATGATATCATGTGGCCATAAGTTCATGTAAGCCTTTGTAAATAGTATCAATTTTGAAGAGTGGTGCATCCTATCTATACTACTATATGATATATAGGCTAAAGAATCTTCATCATGTATAGGCTAAAGAATCTTCATCATTTGTTGCTGAGGTATAAAGAATGGAGACTTTTTACACTATATTCATTTAAGTTTTAAGATTAGTAATTTAGACATACATCCATTATCTGTCATTGTTATGTATTCTGTTAAGGTTTCTAAAAAATGATAAAACGCTGATATTCTTGCTTGCATGTAAATGCTAACATATTATTATTCTATATTTGTTATAACGATAAGGTTTGTCGTCGAAATGAACTAAAACTGCATTTATGATAATAAACACTGACCGATATCGAATGTAAATTCACATAATACAATTCAGTCAACTGAAATGAATATTATTCATTCTGTAACAATAATCTCAACGCCTTATTTGGGAACACCTTTGCCGAAACCAAGAGACATCGTATTGATAACATCTTTATAAAGGTATATTTAAGTGCAATATGTTATTTTATTTATATCACTTAAATTCAATAATTAAATATTATACTATTAGTATGACTTCAACAGGTAACGCATATCGTTTGTCAATCTTGTACCTGTGCAAATTTGCTCCCGATTTTACAAAATCCATTTAAACAATCCAGGCCGTTTTTATTTAGTGAATATATTTTTGTAAAAAACAAACTTTGTACACATGAAAATTTACACTCGTTCAATTTACATAATACAAAAGTATCAATTCAGCACAGTAAATGAACCGTTGACTTCACTGTCTTGTGGACTAAATCAGAGCATTTTCAAAAGCATGATTTTTGTTCGTTCATATTTTTTTTAAAATGTGCCTACCTGTACTCTGGCCTCGGTGAGGCTGCAGCGAAGAGCGAGTTGTTCCCGGGCGTACACATCAGGATAATGAGTCTTCTGGAAAACACGTTCCATCTCTTCCAACTGGAAACTGGTGAATGTTGTCCTGTTCCGTCGCTTTTTCCGCTTTGAGTCCGGACCATCGTCCTGGTTATCCTCAGAATTGGACAGACCCCCTTTATCCTCCAAACTCTTGTCATTGTCGCTCAGATCGTCCTTGGAACAATCTGGGGACCCCTCGCTTTTTACACTGGACACGTCCCCGTTCTGGAGCTTGGTTAAGTCTCCGGAATCGTCCATATCTGGAATTACAAAAAAGAAAAGAATATTTATTCATAATGTCATTTTTCACCGATTAAGTGTTTATTTCATGCATCATAATTTAGTTATTTGTAATGTAAACGTAGCACAATGTCATAAAAGAAAATTATATCAGACAACATTTTTGTTTTCTTTTTATTTGACTTTCTTTACCCGTTCAGTTCTGTTTTGCATAATTTATTTGGTTATAAATCATTGCTCTGGCATAAGATCATTAGGTTGTTATGCATTTATATCCTGTAGAATTATGAAGCATTTAATGTTAAAACGAATCTTGATAAACGGGGATTTGCCCAGAAATTTCTTATACAAATTCTAGCATTTAACTTCATTGTACTGTCAATCCATAGTGATGTGGTTGCAATGATACCATTGACGCATTGTGACCGTGTCTTGGAAAGTATATGCCAATACTAAAACGTTTTAACATATTCTGTTGTATCCTTACGAATTATTAATCGTTTAAATGAAATCAGGATTTCATTATTCACGAATAAATATTTAATTTGCTGTATATATATTATTTGTAAATATCAACTACACATTTATAAGTTTCTTACATTTTTGTTAGATCGCCGATCACATATTGTTTGGTTCAATATTCTTTAACAATTCAGTAATGTTTACCATTATACCAGCGCTACGAACGTAATTTCTTCATATTAAAAAGTAAATTCCGTTTGGATACATGTAACAGGTAAAAACACAGTATATTATATTTGGTTATATTATTATTTTTTCATAAAAGAGACTCTTTTTGTTTTGACAGTTTGATGTTCCACTGAGTATATAATACGACACAGAGATAAATAAATATTATAGATTTTATTCATTTTACTGAGATATTTTCATTAAGACTTTCTACGAAACCATATCTGTACTGGCATAACATTTTATTTAATTACTTATCTAACTCGTTTTGTTAAACTCTGTAAATGGACACTTCATCATTATAATTTGGAATCTTATTTTAATATGCCTAAGTATGATAGCAATACTATGAGAAAAAAAATTCAAAAGAGGTATAACGTTCTATGATTCCGAGATAAAGATAATCAATTATGTTTCTGAAATGGTGTGCGAATGACATCGCTTATGTGTTTGTCAATATAATTTCCCCGCAGAACCATTCTTGAAATAATTACTACAATAATAGTCTGTAAATCTAAAGTATGTTTTAAAATGCTACTTTTGGGAAGTGTAATATTCAGCTGCTACACCCTTGCTGTTGAGAGCCTATTACTTAGTATTAGACAAATAATGTCAGCATGATACGCTGATAGAGACATAAACAAATTCCCATCACAAAGCGATGACAGCGTTGTTATCGGAAACTCCCTCAGAAATTTCATCGCCTTGTTTCAATAAAGATATCATGCAAGGTTCAGAAAGTCATTGCATTTGGAAATGGTCCTAAATAGCAGTGTGCTGGTCGGATGACCTGTTTAGAGAGTGATAACTTCACAATAACACCACTTCATCTGATAAGTGATCATGATAATTAGACCCCCAGGAGAGAACCTTGTCGTACCCCCCTTCATACCACATCTGGCGGGGTCCTAGTATGTTAATTTGTACACTTCAAGACACACTAATTACATCACTTGCTGGATTGATTTATATAATAGTTAAGTCATATTGATGAGTTGTTTTAGTGAATTGATTTACGATATACAACTTGAGAACGGAACGTCAAACACAAGCAATTGGTATTAGAAAGTTGTTGAGTTGAGTTGAGTTGGGCTTTTAAGTCACATCGGCATTTGTCCAGCCATATAGTGACGAGAACGAGTCTGCATTAATAAACTTTTCAAGTACAAAATCCGAATGAGTCTTATTTAAAAAATGCATATATTCATTTCATTGTCATTTAAAAACAGAAAATGTCATAGTACTAAATTCAAAAGCACGCAGTTTGTTATTCACATTACACTATTCGCAAATGTATGCGTTAAAACCACGTATACCACATAGACATTGTGTCGAAATGATATTACACCATATAAAATATAGTATATTTCCCATATAATTCTACTTTAAAAGACAGATTTGGTCTTCGTTATCGACATAATCATTAAATAAATACCAATAATACATTGCAAGCACTTGTAAACAATGTAAACAAGATTAAACTTCATGTTCCGACACAATTAGGGTTGTAGTAGTTAGAATAAGGGCAATTATCATTCTGTGACAAGCAGGAATTATGAAGGCGATGGAAACCCCGGAAAAAATACTGTCCCAGGGTTTCCTAATTATGACGTGGAACAGTGAAAAGAGCAATGTGACCCCCTCAAACTGGAAGGAACTCCATACACATACCTCGGTCTAAATCCTCGCCTCTTCTGTTTCCAAGTATATCGTCAATAGAGTGCTGGTTATACGTACTAGGACGTTGTACTGTGTCCACGAACCGGGTCGAGGAGGCCAAATACTCCTCAGCACTGTCGGTACCAATAGCGCTTCCGAAAGAAGTGTACACTTTTTCGGGTTTGATCAAGTTATGAGCGGTAGTCATTCCGTGTTTTCGTCGCAAGCAACACTAGCTAAACTTACTCCAAGTTGAGGACGTTTCTTAATAAGATAATATTCGCTGTACGGTTTTAGCTCCTTCTTTAAACCTATCAGATTCCCGGCTGGCTTGAACCCTCCCCTTGCTCGCTCATTCATATTACCGCCACTTCCGGAGCCACGCCCCCTACCTCATGAATATGAATGAGGTCCCGGCAGCGGGCGGTCGTTGTGTTGTTTTGATTCGCAGCATTTCCCATCTGATTGAAGATGATTTTGGAAATTTTGGGAATCTGCGAAAGATAAAAAGATGCGATGACTTTCGGTGGTTATTCTTCAAATGTGCTATGCATATAATCTGAGATGTTTTGAAAACATGGTTTATAGTTTTGAAAACAGACACGCCTGGGACTTTTATCGTAATAGGGTGGTAATAACTTGTTTTGTCTTTGGCTAAATTGAGTTGAAGAGGCCTCCAACTTGTTGATACTCCTGAGAAAGGAACGCCTGGTTGTAAAAGTTGAAACTGTGGGATAATTTTATTTTTATTTTGCTCGCGTATGGGTCGGAGGAAAGTTTACAAACATCCCCCAGGCCTACCACATACAACTTGCAAAAAATATAATTTCTGAGCGGCATTGATTTCCTTTGATGTAATGAGTTCCAGAAAATCTGTAAAAAATCACTGACGTCTCCGACAAAAACGTCTCTGTCTCCAATATCAGGATAGAGTGATTTCCTCATCACAATGCTGCATATTTTGTGATACCAGAATGCTTATGAATTATCAAATTAAAACAGCTGGCCATCGTGTCGAGATATGTATATGGAAATATTACTCTTATGATAATGATTATTTCTGATGCAAAATGTGCACTGAGTTCACTGAAGACTTTAAAAGCATTTCGTGGCACCATTTTTCAAAAGAGAATTTATGCTTGGTCTTATTAAAAACCACTTGGTTAATGAACATCGTAAGTAATAAAAATAATATTTAAAATTTCTACTTTCTCACCATTTCTTCTTTTTAGAGTGTGAACGCGTGTATATAAACATTACTTTCAATCATGATAAACTGGCACAAACTTTATTCTTTCAATGCACTTTACAAGTGTTTACATTATTAGCCGTACACCTGTGAACTCTGAAATATAACATTTTAACATAACGAACCCCTACACCTTTTCTAGTATCTAAACGAACCCACAGTGCGAACTAATAAAATACAGGGTAAAAAATAACATCAACGCATTCAAAACCATGTTTTAACAGAGTTTTACAGAGACGAGAACACACTTTCAAAGAGGACGGTAGGCAGACAGCAGTTGAGGCTATGATGCATGATTTCCATTCTCATAAGTTATTCTGTGTAAACATAACGTAAAACCTGTGATATTTACATAGGCACTTCACAATATGGATCTCTCCCTCAAGAACGCAGGGGAACACGGCAGAAATGTCAGAGTCCATCAGGGGGATACGGGGGTAGGGAGAAGGAGATCCGATTCTCACCAATATTCCCAGAATATTTCCAGAATTCCTTGCTCATCTGTGAGTTTGCACAAATGAGTTGTGCGAAAACGTATTTGAACGATATGTCTTTGTTGGTTCAACTTATTAAAATTTTCATTTGTTTGAAATATATTTTAAAAGGAATCTTAAAAGCTGTCCATGTGATTATGGTGATGATGATTTTATTCATAGCTCTTTACTTGCATTATGTATTCTAATCTTGTTAACGGCGTTTACAGTTTTCTTTAGTGTTTGATGTTCTTGTCGTACGCGCCCCTATTCTCGTGCGTACTTGATTATGTAGCATTTTAGCACGGATATTACAATTACAATCCTTCAGATTATTTTACACTAGAAAACTTTCGAAACAATTCATATATAATTTAATTTGCATTCATCAAATGGGAATTAATAAATTCATACTGTACAGTCGCGTCGTCAAGCTTCAAAGAATATTTGACATTTTTCTCCAGACTTGTAACATTTCGGCTTAAAACCATATATGACGTATTGAACTTATGTTTAATGCACGCTCGATTCTTACTAAAGCTAGTTATTAAAGGAAAATATGGGACAAACAAACAAAGGTCACAGACTTAAAAGTCCATAGAAAAGCCGAGGAGGACAGTACGTGTGGTCCTTAATCTATGTGGCGCTTTCATAAAAGCCGTACTAATGGAAGTTGTATCCTGTTCTTTTGCAGGAGGAAAGTCCAAATGGCTAACTAAAATCAACAAAGAAATGGCAACAGCGGCTACAGATGGATTACTGGCAGGGTTATAACGTTATGGGAAATATATTGTATTTCTTTGTCTCTACTGTTCTTGAACATAATGACATTGCCTTTTATCAATGGAATTGAAGTACAACTAATGTGTTTGTGAATATGTTCTCATTGCAAAGATTTTTTATGAATTATTCGATGAACAGTGATATGATTTTTCTGGATTTGAGTGGATTTTATTATTTATCACAATGTGATACATAGAAGATTGTGTATACAACTGTTATGGATATTTTTGTGAATTGGAAACATTATAAAGTGGACTGTATAAGATATACTACGTATGAAATGAATTCATAATGAGATACTACGTGTGACATAAATTCATAATGAGTTGTCATCATATTATATTGTGCAAAATAATGTACTTGGTTCTACCTGATATATCGGACTTGAAAAGGAATGTCTCATTTCAAGTATGTCAGAAAACTATTTGGTTTGTTTTAGTGGGATTTACGTCCATTAAGAGTTCCTGGAACTCCGTAAATATGTATTCTTTGTACATATGTGTCTTTGCTATTCTCGGGTAGTGATACATACATGGTCATACACTTTTTGTATGTTGGTTTTCGAATTTCTTGAAGTTGTTTTGAAGAATGTGGTAGATATATTTATATTGTTTTAAAACTAATTCAAAAACTAATAATTGACATCGGTAATAAAAAATATATTTTTTCGTCATAGAGGCAAGATATAGATGGTATTGTTTACACCCTCTACCGAGGTGTTCTGTGAGAAGTCCAGAACCTATTACCGTGAAGACGATTTAATCGTCACCTTAGTTCAGTTTGGTGAACATAACCATTTTTTCACATTTTTATCACCGAAACGCAAACAACTATACATAATACTGCATATGATCGCAGGTTACTTTACAATCACATGGTTATATTTCTTCATCTGTGTTTAATACTGAACAAACCTTATGGATAACAATTTATATTATTTCCACTGCTAGTGTATAGTAAGAAGTTGCTGTGCATAAAGTTTGTTCAATTTTATTCTTCACAACTTCTAAAATGGCACTGAAAGAAGTTCATCTGTGTTTGTTATTTTCATTTTCTTGTTCATATTTGCATCTTGCACCTCGTGGCTTGTATTTACATGTAACCTGCATCCCTGTTCAATACATACAAATAGGCAAGCACAACTATATAACCCAGAAGGCGGGTACTGAGGGTCAACCATTTTATATTGATGTAAGGGACGGTGACGGACTTGTATTTACATGTAACCTGCATCCCTGCATCATAGGTTCAATACATACAAATAGGCAAGCACAACTATATAACCTAGAACGCCTGTACTGAGGGTCAACCATTTGATATTGATGTAAGGGACGGTGACGGACTTTTATTAGAAACAGAATATGTTTTCCGTTACTGTATAAAGAAAACGTGTTTTGTCTCTAAAAGGACTAGCCGAATAAACGTATCGTCGTAGCATTTAGCATGTCCAGCGAACGATTTTGTGTGTGTAATTATGTAGGCGAAAAAGGAATTTCCCGTATTTTTCGGAATCCGAATTAAATGCATCACCAGATGAATGATATTTTCCCTAATTATATCTGTGATGTATCTGTGATCAGGACTCCTGCCTGAAAGTGTGAAAGTTTTGACGTTACAAAGTAATTTGTTTCGGAAAATATTCACGATTTTATATACAATATGTTTCCTTCTTCATTTTCAGATGAACAATTGCCTTGCCTTTGCATGTGTTTGTGACCTGTGCCACTGGTGGGACACGATACGTTTACTTGTTAGGGAACACCTGGTGTCAGCACTATTTATGGTAACTCCTAAGTGATCTACACGGATTCGCACAATGGACTTTGCTTATAGCAGAGATTTCTGACGATTACGGAAAGGGTGTTTTTGGTTTTGTAACATGTTTAAACAATAATTCATAATTCTTTGATTATGACAATGTTTTTATCACCTTGTCTTTCTTTAGCGTTCTCCTTGTATAGCATTATACATAATTCTCAAGTTCATATATAACATATTCTTAAAAATACATGTGTTCATTAACAACTTGAATAGGTTTAAATTTAAACTTTATCTGATAATTTCAATGAGGGTAAAATAGCTAGTTCCCTTTGGTGCTTTACTCTCGCGAGTTAGAAATTAAAGAGCAATAAAACAGCTTCATCTGTTTCATATACAGATCTATGGGTCAGAGTGACAAATAATGACCCAAGACTGTAAACAAGAGGGGTGACTTCAAGCAATAGTCACCTTTATGTTTGTGTTGAGAAATATTAGGTAGAGCTCAGAAAACGTTTTATGCGAAGGACATAAGTGATGCTTCATGCAACTCCCAATTTGGACTTGTGCCGTATGTTATATTTGTGCAGATAACAATATACTTGCCTTTGCATGAACTGTCATAGATGACAGCAGTAAGGGAGGATACGCTCGACTGGTATCATCACCTTTTTGTAGTGATTCTTAAAACCGCGTTCATAGTAAAGTCGGAGTCGTACAATGCCGGTTTTAAGTTCACATAGAACAATATATACAGTTCATTCGTTTGTAAGATGATATTACATGAAGCTTCTCACCCTCAATTTTGCCATGTTCATTAAACCGCCATTGCTATCTTACTGATTTGATCATATATGTATTACACTTCTGTTAATTCGTTTAGCCGTGAAACGAAACAGGGTTACATTTAATAAACCAAAAACATCTGTTGCTTGCCATTCTTATGTGATACTACTGATATTTGAAA